GAACATGCGACTGAAGGCGCGTGGCCTGCAGCCTGCCGCGGGCGCCGAGGGCAGCCGGCCGACCCTCCCCGGCTCGGGAGGGGGCGGTCGAGGAGGCGGCCCCAAGGGCGACCCGAAGGGCGGCGGACGTGGCGGCGGCCCGAAGGGAGGGGCTGGCGCGGAGGCGGGAAAGGCTCAGGCCCCGGGGCGATGGTCGAGGCCGGCGCCGGTCGTGGTCGAGCCGACGCTGGAGGCCCAGACCCGGTGGCTGACGACGAGCGCGTGAGGCGCGTCGCCATGCTGCCGCTCTTCCCCATTCCTCTCGCCCCCGCGCCCACCATGCCCTGCGGACGTGGTCGACAGGCCTCCGGCCTGAGAGGCCATTTGCGACGGCTGAATGCAGACGTGAACGCAACTGCGAAGGCTTTGAATTGGATGGCTGGGGATCGGCATCAGCCCGAGTACGGGCCACCACGCACCCCAGAGCAGGCTAGTGTGCATGCGCGCGTGCGAGGAAGGATTTTGTCTCTTTTGACCTCGGACGTCGCGATCCCTAGCCGGCGAGCGGCTTTCTTGGAGCTGCTGCACGGCCGAGCTGTGTATGATGCAGAGCCCTGTGGACACAACCTTGCCAGTTTCTCCAATGTTGCCTCTGTGAGCCTACCTGACAGCCTCGTAGGCGCCCCTTCGGTGCAGGAGGTTGTGGGCCCAGAGGCAAGCCAGTATTTGGAGCAGAACTACGAGCGCATGCTGCGCCCCTCTTCGGACTTTTTGGAGCGACAGGAGTCGCTGCCCCCTATAACTCCCTATTGGGACCCTGTGCTTGCTCGCAGCCGCCGCAAATTTCTGCGGCTAATGCGGGCGCTCTTGCGGGTCGGGCTGGTCACGCTTTTGCCGGCGGGCTCGTCGCAGGAGCAAGTCGGTATGTTCTTTGTAAAGAAGACCGGCAAAAGTAAGAGTCGTCTTATCATCGACGCACGTAGGGCAAACAGGCTATTCGCTGAGCCCCCAGGAGTCCATCTCTGCTCGTCGGAGAGCCTCGCTAGGATCGAGGTCGCTCTCCCTCCAGGTTGCTCCAGTCTCACTCCTGATCAACTTCGTGGCGCCCAGATGTCCCTGGGGCTGGCGGATGTAAAAGACGCGTTTCATCGTTTTCGTCTTCCTCCGGGACTAGCCAGTTATTTTGGTCTCGGTGTTGCCGCGGCTGGGGAGTTGAAAGCAGTAGGCGATGTCGTCGGCGGGAAGATCTTGGGGATCGATGACTGCATCGACATCTGTTGGGCGTCTCTTCCAATGGGGTTCTCTAGGTCTCTTTACTTTTGTCAGCAGGCCGGGGAGCATCGTCTGGGTGGAGTCCCTGGCCTTCGAGATTCGGTCCTTCTTCGAGATCGCGGTAAGCCAGGGGTCTTCAGCTTCGTCGAGTCGGACACGGGCCACGAGAAGGGGTCGGTCCTGGAGGGCTCAGGGGTCTGTCATTACATCTACGTCGACAACCTGGGTGTTCTCTCGCGCGACCCCTCCCACACATCGGCTCTTCTGTCCGACGCGGCGGCCCGCTTTGAGGAGGCGGGTTTGGTAACCCACGAGCATGAGGTGAGCAACAATTCCTTAAAGGCTCTTGGGACTCACGTGGATCTTGAGGGGCTTGGAGTCTCGCTCGCACCTGCTAGGCTGTGGAAAGTGCGTCAGGGGGTCCTTTACGCCCTGTCGCGTCGGAAGCTGCCCGGTCGGGTCTGGGAGGTGCTGTTGGGTCACCTCACATTCTGTGCGCTGATCAATCGTAGCATGATGAGCGTGTTCAGGAGTATCTACGCGTTCATAAATATGTACTACGCTACGCCCATGCCTTTGTGGGACACGGCTAGACAGGAGATGTCGACGGCAGCCTCCCTGTTGTTCTTGATGGGTGCTTCGTGGACTTTACCTTGGTCCCCAAACGTCGTGGCGACTGACGCCTCAGAGGAGGGGTTCGGGGCCACGGTCTCGGAGTGCGACACCCAGGACGTCTCGGAGGTGGGGGGGATCTTGGAGAGAGGTCGGTTCCGGCGGCTTCCTGGAGTTTCTGCCCGGGCCAGGTTTTTCGGAAGTTTGGAGGAGCTGGGGTCCGACGTGGAGGAGAGCGAGTCTGAGCGGCCGTACGACGTCGACTCGGGTTTCCCTGAGGTCCCCCACGCAGTACTCACGGGGGCCCGCTGGAGCACCCTTCTGGCTGGTCCGTGGAAATATTTTGACGAGGGCATCTTTACCTTGGAAGCCAGAGCTCTGTTGTTGGGATTCCAGGCGCTGGTGAGCGAGTACCACGTCAGAAACGCGAGGGTGCTCTTCTTGGTTGACAACATGGGGGTATGCCTGTCCTTCGCCCGGGGGCGCACCGCGGACTTCAGGGCCCTGATGTGTATGAGACGCATGGGATCGTGGTGCTTGGCCCTTGGGATACGTGCATGTTTTCGATGGTTACCTTCTGAGTGGAATACGGCTGATGAACCCTCTCGTCGCTTCTCAGTAGAACGTGTTGGCTCACGTTCTGTTCCCAACGGTGCTGGCGCTTCTGGCATCATTCAGTGCCCACTCAAATGTGATGATGAGAAGACCGACTCTTGGGCCAGCCCGGGCTGTTCCTCGGGCGAAGGCGCGGCCAGGCCTGCTGCCAGCGGGGTCGGCATCTGCGCCCTCAACACCAGTGGCGTCGAGGAGTTTGGTGGCGACAGTGTCAACTCTTCCACCCCGCAGGCCGTCCCGTCTCCGTCGCTTACCGCCCGGGGATACGCTGGTGGCGAAGCTCGAGCAGGCCCCGCAGGGGCACAAGGCGCCGGCCCTCGACGAGCTGAACGACGAGGAGGCCTCGAACGTGGTCGAGGAGAGCGACGCGACCTCCGACACGGTCCAGGTCCGAGCGCGGCCTGCCCGCCGCACGCGGGCGTTGGCGGCCCCACGTCTGAAGCGAGCACGCCAACCCGTGGAAGCAAGTCGCCTACAAGGATTGTGCCTCTTGCCGCTGGAGTCGAGCGCGGTGCAGGCGAAGACAGAGATCCAGTACCACGAGGCGGTGTACGCGTGGCGAGCTCGGGCCCGCGAGTTGGGCGAGCCTCTCGGCGTGGCTGCCGAGGTGGACGCCTCGGTGGTGCGGCAGCTTCAAGAGCTTTTCGACCAGGGCGAGAACATCAGCAAGGGCGAGAAGCTCGTGGCCGGGCTGGAGCATTGCCTGCCCGATTTTGGACGCCACGGTGGCCTTCATCTATCCCGCTGTTATCGAGCCTTGAAGGGATGGAGGCGTCGCTGTCCGCCGCGATCGCGCCGCCCCCTGGCCTTCAGCATCTGGGCGGCCATCATTTGGGAGCTGTGCCGTGCCAACTTCTGGAACATGGGGGTCTACACGCTGTTCATGCTGGTGACCTACATGCGGCCGTCGGAGCCGCTGAAGTTGTTGAAAGAGGACCTCTTGGCACCAGCGCACGGACTCTCTGCCTCATGGATCTGCTTCGCTTTTCGGCAAGAGCGGGGAGTGGCGTCCAAGACGTACGCGACGGACGAGAGCATCGACCTGAGTTGCAAGTGGGTGCCCTACCTGTCGTCGGTGGTGGCGGCGCTCCGGACGGGGGGCCCGAAGGCCAAGGTCTTCAACTTCACGTACAGCAGCTACACGCACCAGTTCAAGATCGCCTGCAAGAAGCTCGGGCTGACGGCCGTGCCTTATCAGGCAAGGCACTCAGGCGCCTCCATCGACGCCGCCATGAAGTACCGCGCGAGAGCCGAGATCAAAAGCAGGGGAAGATGGAAGGCGGACAAGTCGGTGTTGAGGTACGACAGCAAGGCCAAGATCGTCGAGAGCGCGGACAAGCTGACCGGCTCGTTGGCGTCTCACGTGCACAGGTGCGAGCTCCAGCTCGGGGCCCTTTTGCGCGGCCAGATCGACCCCTCGGCCATCGCACCGCCCGTCATCCAGAGCTCAGCCCCAAAGAAGCGACGCCGTACCTAGCTGACCTGTTTGGTGGCGCAGGCGGCGTCGGGCGAGCGGCGGGCAAGTGCGGTATCCGAGCCCGCCTGTGGGACAAGTCCATCTGACTCTCTGGACCTCACGGTCCTGAAGAATATCCAGCTCCTGTGCTTAGAGGCTAAGAGCAATAAGCTCGTGGCAGTCATGATCGCTATTGAATGCCGTTCGTGGGGTATTGCACGCCACAGAACCAATGTAATCCGCTCGCGATCAGAGCCTTGGGGAGTTACCAAGCCGGCCAAACCTTTCTCGGCCAACGACATGGAAGCCCTCAGGACTGGAAACCTCCAAGCCCCAAGGATCCTCAAGCTTATCAGATACATCCATGTTCTTGGTATCCCGTGGGCCGTAGAAAACCCTTCATCAAGTTTGCTCTGGTGGGTTCCAGGTTTCTTGACACTCGCGAAGGACCCCAAGGTGTACGTTAAGATTATCGACCAGTGTGCCTTCGGTACTCCATGGCGTAAGCGTACTCAGCTCATGTTCGGCAACTGTGACCCCATCGACGTTACCTTGTGTGATAAATATATCTGCCACGGTCGGGGACAATGCTGCTTCTCAGGAAAGCCTCGCGTCGAGTTGGAAGGGAAACGTATGACTGCCCAGGCCCAAACTTACCCACCCCGTTTCTCCCAACTCCTGGCCAAGATCCTTTGCAGTGCGGCAGTTTACCGACGGGCTTGCCTCTATTCAATCAACTCATAAGCTCACTACCTTTCGGGACGATTTGGGAATCAGCTAACGCATAATGCCGAGTATATACTCTTTAGCGTTCTCATGTCCAGTTGAGGGCCAGCTCGTGAAGACGGTGGCAGAGTTGATTAGACACATTGCTGATCGAAAAACAGAGTGCAGGCCTCTCATGTTAGTGCGGAATGTGCTTGCAAACGGGCACGGGATTGAGGGGCCCAGCGACGTGTTCACCGTGCTCCCCTGTATTCCATTATATATTCGCTCAAGCTTCCCTCCCCCCTCTCCCTCTCTTGCGCTGTGCCGTCGTTTACTCCACGTTTCAATGGGGAATCAGCTAACGCATAATGCCGAGTATATACTCTTTAGCGTTCTCATGTCCAGTTGAGGGCCAGCTCGTGAAGACGGTGGCAGAGTTGATTAGACACATTGCTGATCGAAAAACAGAGTGCAGGCCTCTCAGCTTCATGAAGCCCCCTCTGCTGGCCCGCCGTTGCCAACCCCACGCGAGGAATTTCTCCCGTGTAAGGCTTTCAGCGCACGCGTCCAGCCAAGAAGTGAAGGTGGCGAGGAGCTCGCGATTACCTTCGTGCCCCGCTGCTATCATGGGGCTCCATTGCCGCAGCTGGTTCGCCATGGTCAAAAACATGTTGGCGCTGAATAAATCAGTCGGCCTGTCGTCGTGTGGAGCTGCAGCCAGGGGAGGGTGGTGCGCCTCGCCGTTGGGAGCCGCCGCAACTTGATGTCGCAAGTCGCGCCAGAAGTCCAATACATACCCTGCCGAGCACCGAGACCGGCAGTCGACAGCCAGGGATTCCCACGCCGATATCACGACGAGGCTGCCGAGCACGAAGGGGAGGCGCAAGCACGTGGTGTAGGCCTCACTCGGACACTCCCAATCGGCGACCATCGCGTGAACAGTGCGCCCATCGCCAAGCACAGCTGCGTCAAGCATGATATCGACCGCAGGCTCTAACATATCGAACGTGACAAACGTCGGGCTTCTCAGACCGCGATCATCAGAAACACAATCCATCGGCTCCGCCAAGGCCACAGCCTTTTTCACGCTGGAGTAACTCATGTGCCTGTAGCTGCTACCGCTCCAGTGCGTCACGGCTCGCGCCTCTGATCCGAAGCTCGGCGATAATACATCGCACAAACCCGTGTACTTGCAGAAAACAATGCCGATCACTTTCTGGTCGGCCTCTGCCTGGTCGTGAAACGCGGGCACGCCAACAGCGTGCAAGAAGCTGATCTCGGCGTCTTCGACGGCCTGTCTGATGGCAGCCTTGTCATTGGCATCGAGGGCGGGAGGTGGTAAGGACGATCGATGGCGGCGCCTCGATTCATCATACACATAAACCCATGCTGGGAACAAGAACTCGTCGTCGGCGCCGTCGGCGCCGCCACCGCTCATCTGGGCGCGCAGCGCGCAATCGCCCCGCACGCGGCGGGCTCGAGGAGCCAAAACTGGCTACGGAGGAGGAGGAGGAGGGTCCAGAGCCCCCAGGAGGGTGAGGAGGACGAGGACGAGGAGAGGAGAGGTGAGGAAAAGTCTAGGAGGAGATGATATGAGAGTATATGGGAGAATAGAGGAGAGGAGAGGAGAGTAGAGGAGAGGATAGTAGAGAAGAGCCCATACAATGAATGAGGAGAGATCCCCGAACCTCCATCTCCGAAAGGGCTGGCTCCAGGGCAGCCCGCTCCGCCGCCAGAGCGCGATCCCGCGCAATGCGGGCGACGATGAGGAGGTGGTTCGCGTCCCGGGACGCTCGGAGGGCGCGGTCGGACTCGATGAAGGCATGGTCGACCGCCGCCTGCAGCAGCTGGGACGTCCAGGTCTCGTCCAGGTCGACCGCCGCCTGCAGCAGCTGGGCGTCCACCGCGGGCTCCTCGTCCGCCGCGGCCGCGGCGTCGGCCGCCTGGGCCGCCGGGGCCCGCGCGGACGCGATGGCGGCCTCCGCCACTTCCTCGGCGCCCGTCGCCGGGAGGGCCGCGGCCTCGGCCGCCAAACCTTTGGCCACCACGGCATCGTCATCCACCTCGGCACCCGCGGCCGCCGATGCATCCGCGGCCACAGAACCTTCGGCCACCAGGGCTGCCATGGCCTCGGGGTCCAACGGAAGCTGCTGCGTCCGCGGCCTTTTGTTAGCGGGAGGCGCCGAACCATCGCAACTCGGCCGTGACGGCGGCGGCGTCGTCGGCGGCGGCGGCTGCGAGTGCCACCGCGCCTCGGGCGGCGGCTGCGAGTGCCACCACCACGCTGCCTCCGCCTCGTGCCACGCCTCTGGCGGCGGCGGTGGCGGCGGCAGCGGCTCTGTCGGCGGCGGCGGCTGCTGCCCAAGCCGCGCCGCGAAAGCGTGCCACGCCGCGGGCGGCGGCGGCCCAATCGGAGGCCGCGGCCCCAACACCCGCGGCGGTGGCGGCCGACTCGGAGGCCGCGGCCCCAACACCCGCGGCGGCAGCATCTCGGCCAGGAGGCCGCGACCGCAGGTTTGAGCCCAAAAAAAGAGGAGGAGGGGAGGAAGGGAGGAAAAGAAGGGAAGTGGGGAGGAGAAGGAGGCGCGGCTGACACCCTACCTCTTCCCCTCCAGCTCGGCTTACGCGCCGCGCTCGCGCCACTTCTGACGTCCTACGCCTCCACGTCCGTTTGCGCGCCGCGCTCGCGCCACATCTGACGCCCTACGCCCTTCAGGCTCGCCTGCGCGCCGCGCTCGCGTCCCCCCCCTACATGGACCAACAGCAGCCTTCGATGAAAGTCACTAGCCTAGACCATCCTCCGCGGTAGTATTCTTGAATGCTCGGCGTTCTGGCGCCACCGCTCCGTGCCGACAGGGGTCGCGCGCCGGCACGTCTGCGAGCGCCCGTCCTCTTCCGTCCCTTTTCCCGCGCGACCTCGGGAGTTGCTCTGTGACGCCGCGGTGCTAGGCCCCCGCGTCAGGAGGTGTGCGGTCCTCGAGCCGTCCCGTGCCCGCAGCCTCACCTGGCGCCTGCCCAGGCCATCCGGGCCTCCCGGAGGGGGGTCAGAGGATCGTGCGGCTTCGCCGATGCATCGGCGTCCTCCGGCGACGTCGGGGCGGAGAACGTCTGAATCCGGATAGCGTCGCGCCATCCGCCGACCTCGGGCATTGAGGGGACGCCCTCCCAGACAAGTCGACCGAGGAAGGCGCCAGTTCACTCGGCATCGGCACTCGAGCGGATCGGTGCAGTCCCCAGTCGGCTTCGCTAATCGACGTTTGTTTTTTGCCGGATGCGTTCGCTTGTTTTTGGGCGTCGATGAGTGGTCTCGCCCAGATCCACTCGGCATGCGTTGCTGTCCGGACGTGGAGTGCCCCTGGAAGCTTTCACACGAAGGCGTTTTGCGAAAGGGTGTTTTGTCAATCTTCGACAACCAAACAATCCAAGTGCCTTGCCCCTCCCATCGCCAGAGCAGGCCCACGCGCCACCCTCGACCAGCGCTGGTGGCGGGCGCGCGCGGGGCCCTGGCTATGCTCTTGGTGCTCGCGGCGGCGGCGGCGCTGGCGGCGACGTCGGGCAGAGGCCAGGTCGGCGGGCCTGCGGGCAAAACGCTTGCAGCGGGGCCTCGGGGCGCAGGCATCGAAGAAGAGAACAATGCACAAGCATCGTATTTTGGAGGTCCGCGCGGATTTCGTGTACTGGCGCTGGACAGCCCTGCTGGCGTCCTGCGCCGCCCTTGGCACGCATCGCTCGCCAGCCTAGGGGGGCGGTGAGCGCGAAGTAATGAAAGCCGCACGGACCTCGGAGAGTTTGTTATTGCTGATTTTGCGTTTGGGGGTGTATTCTCCTAGGTGACAGGGACCAACGTCGAGGATCGTAGTCATTCGGCACGTCAGTAGCGAGCGCAGCATCTGGTAGATTATGGATCATAGCAGCAGACGTTCTGCAGGAGTTTGGGCAGCATCAACACGCATACGTGTTTGCCACGGTAGCGCAGCGTTATGTTCTTTAGGACCTCTGCGATTGAATGTCACATCTTTCTTCAAACATTTTGAGAGTAACATCGAACAATCGCCCACTCCAAGGATGGCGGCGATTGCAGAACAATTGATGCAGCAATGCAGCAATGCAGGCATCAGCAGTCAGCTTCACAAAAGTAAATGACCTTCGTAAGCGAAGCCGTTTCTTGTCTATTCAGTTGTCCGGTTTGCAGGAAACGTCCCAGCAGAAGGAGATTCAATGCACAGTCCGCGTTGATGAGTTGAGGCAGCAAATCGAAGCCCTTTCTTCCAGAGGTACTGGTCTAGTAGATTCCAGACAGATCCAAAGTAGTTTGGCGAAGGACCCAACCATATGCAGCTGCGAGCATCGCGAGGCAGGTGAACGGGAAGAACGGGCCTTGCAGGAGGACAGGGGCGTGGGTCTGGGTGGCTGCGAGTTGCTCAACTGTCATCACTTTCGTGGGCTCCTGGCAGGTCCACCGGAGTCGGGGGCCACGGGCACCCATTTGAGACCTCGCTGCTCCCTGGGTGGTTGCGACCTGCGCACATGTCGCCACGTTCGTGGGCTCCTGGGAGGTCCACCGGAGATGGGGGCCACGCGCACCCATTTGAGACTCTGTTGCTCCCCGGATGACTGCGAACTGCTGAACTGTCACCACTTTCGTGGGCTCCTGGGAGGTCCAGCGGCGTCGGGGGCCACGCGCACCCATTCAAGACCTCGCTGCTCCCTGGATGGCTGCGCACTGCTAAACTGTCATCTCTTCCGTGGGCTCCTGGCAGGTCCACCGGAGTCGGGGGCAACGCGCACCCATTTGAGACCTCGCTGCGAACTGTTCACCTGGGAGGTTCAGCGGAGTCGGGGGCCATGCTCACCCAGACGGGACCTCGCTGCTCCCTGGGTGGCTGCGACCTGAGCAACCGTCCCCACTTTCGTGGGCTCCTGGGAAGTCCAGCGGAGTTGGGGGCCACGCGCGTCACCACTTCCGTTGGCTTCTGGGATGTCCAGCGGAGTCGGGGGCCACGCGGATCAAGCCGGGACCTCTCTGTTTTTGGGGAGGCTACGAAGTGCGAAATTGCCGTCATTTCGTAGGCTCCTGGGAGGCACGGCGGAGGGCAGCGCGGATCGTGCATATCTGGCGAGGTGTCTTTTTGTATGCAGCGTTCATGCAAATACTCGCCTCGCGTGGAGAAGGAGTGGAGTTGGGCACGTCTCCGGTAATTTTCACGACGGGAGGAGGCGGCGGGAGCGAGAAGGACAGGGGGAGGAGTCCGGCGGAGGAGGGACCCTGAGCTCGAGAGCCTCCCGAGGTGACCGCCGCACCAAGGGCGCATCTGCAGCCCTGCAACCGCGGGCTTCGCTGACAGCCGTGCAGCGGAAGGTCTGGCCAAAGGAAGGAAGCAAGGAGGAGACGGCGGCAGCGGCAGCCGGCCCGTCATCGAATCACAAGTTACATGAACAGAAACCCTCGGAGTTCCGCTGGGATTTCTCGGATCGGCGCCCCCTACGCGCGCCATGTAGGGGGCTCCAGTGCCGATCCAAGAAATCCTCGCAGGGTTCCGAACTTTTTTGTTTATGCAACTTTTTTCTAATTCGAGGATCGGCGTAGAAAGGCGGGCCCTCCATTCGTCGGGAGAAGGTGGAGAGGTAGATGGAGCCAGGGTGGGAGATCTCTGGGTAGGCGAGCGAGTGAGCAAGAGGAAGGAGGAATAATGCATATATATATATATACATAAATATGTGTGTATATATACACATATATTCAAGACTGCATTGGCGCTTCGCGCCATGCACCTTGTTCCTTGTAGTTTCGAATGCAGGCGGCGTGCGTGCGCGTGGACATGGGGCGGGCAACCGCCAAGTCGGAATGGTTGAGGATCTCCTAAGCGGGAGCGACCGGACAACACCATTCGAGGCCAGCTCAGGCGTTTTGGGGCCAAAAGGCGCGAATATGTCTCAGGCGAGTGGTTGGGCTAGCATGAAGCAGGGCATCCTCTTCTTTCTGGTCCTCCTCCTCCTCCGTTTCCCCCACCTCTTTCTCCCGCTTCATCCTCATCCTCTTTCTCCTCTCTCCCCCTCTTCCTCTAATTCCTCCTCCTCCTCCTTCTCCTCTACACCCTTTTCCTCCTCTTCCTTTACCTCCTACAGAGCATGCTATTTTCGGCATGCGCGCTGCTGCGGCATTCGGCAAAACCATTGGAAAAAACAATGTTTTCGGCCCTCTCGCCTTTTCGCTTCCGATCGTCCCGGGGGGCGTCAAGATAGCCCCAGGATGGTTCCAGAGAGGCGCAAGCCGAGGCCCACAGAGGCCCAAGGCTGGCCGAAGAAGGCCCAAATAATTGAAAGCCAATGAAAATCATTGGAAAATCAACGTTTTTGGCCTTCTCGTTTTTTCCCTACCTAGGCTCTGCCTAGAAGGGTTCTTACTCTCTTAGCTTAAATGGGCCGGGCAGTGGAACACGCCCCGGGCGGTTCCCCCAGTCCCTTGGGAGCGGTTCCCCCCAGTCCCCTGGGAGCTTTAGCTTTAGCTTTAGCTTTAGCTTTAGCTTAGCTTTAGCTTAGCTTTTAGCTTAGCTGTAGCTTAGCTTTAGCTTAGCGTTTCGCTTAGCTTTTCGCTTAGCGTTTAGCGTAGCTTTAGCTTAGCTTTAGCTTAGCTTTAGCTTAGCTTCAGCTTAGCTGTAGCTTAGCTTTAGCTTAGCTTTAGCTTAGCTTTAGCTTAGCTTTAGCTTAGCTGTAGCTTAGCTTTAGCTTAGCTTTAGCGCAGCTTTAGCTCAGCTTTAGCTTAGCTTTAGCTTAGCTTTAGCACAGCTTTAGCTTAGCTTCAGCTTAGCTGTAGCACAGCTTTAGCTTAGCTTTAGCTTAGCTTTAGCTTAGCTTTAGCTTAGCTTTAGCTTAGCTTTAGCTTAGCTTTAGCTTAGCGTTACTGTTACTACTAATGCTGCTTTCCTAGGGGTTCTAACTCCTAGGTAGGGTCGCACTGGGATAATTCGCTTACGATTTGCTCGGGAGGCGTCAAAATAGCCCCAGGACGGCTCCCAATGAGTACCCAGACGAGCCCCAAAGAGGCCCAAGGCTGGCCGAAGAAGGCCCAGATAATTGAAAATCCATGAAAACCAATGGGGAAATCAATGTATCTGGCCGTCTCGCATTTCGCTTACGATGGGCTCTTGAGGAGTCGAGAGATCCCCAGGATGGCTCTAAATGAGTCCCCAGGCGAGCCCCGAAGAGGCCCAAGGCTGGCCCAACATGGCCTGGGGAGTCGGAAAATCAGAGAAGACCCAGTAGAAAAGCAATGTTTTCGGCCTTTCGTTTTTTCGTTTCCGGTTGGCTCTGGGGGCGTCAAGATGACCCCAGGATGCCCGCAGAGAGGCGCAAGACAGGCCCAAAGATTCGAAAATCGCTTGGGGGGGGTCAGGGGGTGTGCGCTCTTTCTGGGGTCCCCGGACCTATAGAAGTATATGAATAGGAATACATCTATATATATATATACATAGAGAGAGATATACACGTATATGTGTATGTGTATGTATGTATATATGTATATATGTATATATATATATATATATATATATATACATATATATATATATATATATATATAACACGCCGGCCGCGCATCACCGGCCGCCCCTTGGGAGTTTGACACATCTGGTCGGTAGTATCTTCGAGGCAGTTTTGAAGCTTCTTTGGGGGCTCTTGGGCGCCGTTTGGGGGCCTCTGGGAGCCCGTGTCGGGTCTTTTGGGACCTTCCTGGGGCCTATTGGGGGCTTTTGTGCGCTTTCCCATAGGAGTGGGACGACTGTTGCCTTTCGGGGCCTTCTTGGAAGGCCTCCTGAAGCCTTTTTGGGGCGTCTTGGGGGCCTCGTGGACCGTCTCAAGACCATCTTGGGCGGCTCGGGGCGGTCCGTCGGCGACGTGGAGCCTTCTGGGACCCTTTTGGGGCTGTCTTGGGGCTCTTTGGAGTCGTCTTGGGGTCCGTGGAGTTTCTTCAAAGCTTCGCGTCGGGGGGGTCTGCGAGGGGCCGCCGACAGGGTGGAGGCCCACAGGAGGGACTTCAGGGAGATTTTTACCAGGCCCAGACGAATCCTACCAGGCACTTTGCCAGAGTGGTCTCGCACGGCCCAACCCGCAGGGCGGGAGCGGCCAGATCTTAAGGGCTTCGCCTTCTGCCGCCGGCCCGCCTATTACTAGTGCGTGCGGCTGCGTGGATAGCGAAGTGGGTACTTCTCGTGGCAGGCTTCTCGGCAGCGTCTGCAGGTCATTGTTGGAGCTTCTTGGAAGCCGTTTTGGATTCAGCCTCTTGGGGCATATTTGGGGTCTCTTGGAGGTCTCCTTAGGGCCTCTTGGGGGCCTCTTGGGGGCCTCTTGGGGCCTCTTGGGGCCTTCTTGGGGCCTCCTGGGGTCCTCTCGGAGCGGAAAGGTGGAGTTTTCGGTTCGTGGACTCTTTCTTGGGCCTCTTTCGGGACCGTCTTAGGGCCCTTTTGGGCCGTCTGGGGCGCCTCTTGGACCGTCTTGGGGCCCTCTTCGGCCGTCTTGGGGGCCTCTTGGGCCGTCATGGGAGCTTCTATGGCCGTCGTGGGGCGATCGTGGGAACCTTTTGGTCCGTCTCGGAGCGTCGGAAAGCCGAAAAGGCGAGAAGCCTAAAACTCTTCAAAGACGTTCGGAAAATCGTTGGTTTTTGCTTCGTGGGGCCCTCTTGGGAGGCCTCTTGGAGGTCTCTTGGGCCGTCTTGGCAGCATCTTTGGCCGTCTTGGGGTCATCGTGGGACATATTGGGGCCATCTTGGGCCGTCTTGGGCTCCTAAGGCTCTCTTCGGAGAAATCTTTGGGCAATCTTGGAAGCCTCTCGGGCCGTTCTGGCCGCGCGGTGCCGTCACCATGAGAATCTTGGGGTGGCCCAGAGCAGCCAGTATTTGAGGGTCACCCCCCTCGTTGGCTGTTTTGTGACGCGGCGGAGCCCCCTAGCAGAAAGTAAACAGGAGGCAGGAAACAGGACTGGAGAGACAAAAGGCCAAACAACAAACGACAACATAACTCGCGACAGCAGTCCGCACACACCTTCGCAGCCTTGCCCCCCAAGAGGGGGCCGGCGGATATACGCATGTGTGCGTGTGTGTAATATATATATATATATATATATATATACATATATATATAATATATATATATATATATATATTATATAGTTCAGCCCCCCCCCCCAGCGGCCCCCCTCCAGGGCTCATCCTCGTCATCCCCATCGCATTTCTCATCATCATCTGCATGCTCATGAGGACCAGGATGAGGATGATGATGGTGATGACGATGATGAGGAGGGGGATGAGGAGGGTGGCGTTGGGGCCGCGCCCGAGGACGACGACTTGTTCGGCCGCCGCGGCGGCGCCGACGCAAGGGCCGACGTCGCGGACGACGAGGAGGACGTGTTCGGCTTCGGCGGCGGCATGGGCGCGACCGAGCCGACGCCGCCCAAAGAGCTGACGTCGGCGCGGAACGCCAGCGTGGAGCAGCTCATCGAGTCCGAGACCAAGGGCATGATTGTGCCGTGGCAGGCGGGCGTTGCCTCGGGGTCGAGCGGCGGCGCGAGTGCGCCGAATGGCGAGGCGGCGCCCGCTGACGCCGCGCCCGAGGTGCAGCCCCCGATCATCGGTTGCCACGGCGCTCTCCCTGCGGAGGACCATCGCGAGCAGATGGCGATCTCCCACAGCCTCGCCAAGGCCCGCCACGGTGTGCACGAGGACCTGGTCACCCCGCCCAGGAAGACCAGGAAGACGGGCTTGGCGCGCGGCGGGCCGCTCTCGCCCGTCGACCTCCAGGAGCAGCAGGCGATCTTTGCGTCGATCGTGTCGCAGGCGCATGGGGAAACCATCGCGATAGACGACGGAGACGTCGACTTGGACGCAGAGATGGAGGCCATGCTCGAGGCCGATCAGCCTGGTGGCGATGCCGAGCAGCCCAGCGGTGGCGCGGCCGAGCAGCGTGATAGCGATGCCGGCTGAGGCGCGGCGCGCTCCCGAAGTCATGAGGGGCAGGGCCTCTCTCTTGCGCGGCGGGGGCAGCCAGCGGCCAATGCTGCCCCCGCTGCTATGAACCGCCCGCGCATGCGCATGACATACCTCCCAGTTCTGTGCCCCGGTCGCACTCGTGTTTGCAATGCGTCGTCGTCGTCGGCCCTGCCCCTGCGCCCCTGCACCCCATTTCCGTATCCCGTTGCCGCTAGCGCTCGGGCTTCACGGGGTGCTCAGAGATCCTCAGGGTGATCCGAGGTTGGATGCATTCGAAGTATTTCAGCGTTGGTTCAAGCGAGAGACGGCCGCCGAGTCCACCCGCTAGCACCCGTCGGCTGCCCAGCCGCCGCCCGCCGCACGCGTCGCCCACGGGTAAGCCATGGCCGCTCGCCGAGCGCGGAAAGGCCCGCATGGCCATGCGGTCCGTGTCCATGAAGAGGGTGAAGAATGGCCCACTTGTCCGCAAGCCGAAGAACGTCCCATACGCACGCCACGGGTCTTCGTCAGCCAGGTCACGTCTCGACCGAGAAGTATGGTCACGGCGCTTGAAGGATTTCGTGAACATGACGACCAAACAGGTGATTGACAACTTGAAGAAGGACAAGATACTTCCTGAGTGGAAGGGCGCGAAGTGCCCCTACTGCAACCTCGGCAAGCTTGGCCCCTCGAAGAACTGCGGCAAAAAGTCGGGGGGGGGTGGGCCCATAAATGCACGCGCAAGTGCTGCCGGCGCCACCTCACGCCGCACGCCTTCCACCCGATCTTCAAGTGCGGCACGGGGTCGTCAGGGGAACGCTTGGCGGACCAGGCGGCCGTGTTGTTCTGCGCCGTGGCCCAGTGCTCGCAGGCGTCCGCTCGCCTCCTGCTGAAGAACAACCACAAGGTGGCAGAGGGCATCTACTCCGCGCTGCATGCAGCCCGCGCTAAGTACGCGAACGCCCGCGAGAAGCACATCGTCTTCGGCAAGGACCAGGGCGGCAACGAGCTCGAGCGGGCGGACGTGGGGGCGGACGAGGTCGACGTGGCGAAGGGGGAGGACCCGAACGCACGTCCCCGCTCGCAGAAGCCCATCATCTGGGAGCAGCGGGGCGGCATAGTTCATCGCGGAAACCCCAGGTCCTTGGTCCTCCTCAAGCTGAAGCCAGAGAAGGCCAAGCGCAGGGCGCCTGGCCCTGGTCCGATACGGAAGAGGGACTGGGCACCCAAGGCGCCCAGGTGGCTGAAGCATCGCCGCGTCGTCCTCCACGCGGACGGGGCGAGGTCGCGCAAGTTGAAGACCGACGGCGTCCTGCGCGATTGGGCGGTGCACAAGAAGAAGAGGGTGAAGCTCGGTAGGACATGGGCGCGGGTGAAGCCCGCCTTTACAAAGGTTCGCTACCACAACGTGCCAGACAAGAGCAAGCCTCGCGGGACGCAGCGCTTGTGGGTGAAGCGCGGCACCCGGCTGATCAACCGCGCGCGGGGCGAGTTGCGCAGGGCGGTCGGCAAGGGCAAGGCGAAGGAGGTGAACTCCATCAGTCTTCGCAACAAGGTAAGCAAGGGGAGCGGCGTGCAAAGCTTCCGCTGACGTCGGCACCGCCGCTCCATTCTTCAGCGAAGCAGGGGGGCAGCCCCAGGGCGCGGGGCGCGGGCCTTCGCTGAGGTTTGGAGGAGCGGTCCAACGCGACAGGCGTCGCTTTCACGTGCTCTCTGGCCCATGCAAGGTGCGGTCATCCCAGTGGGCGCACTGGCACCGCGGCTGCGACTTGTGGCTCGCCACTGGCCAGATGCTCCGCGAGGCGTGGGCCAGCGAGCGCGCCCAGTGAGTTGCTCGACCATCGACGCCTGTGAAGCCGCGCGTGATGAATGGCCTCGGTGGCGTAGCTGAGACCAGCTGGGGTTGGCGCGTAGTAGGCCTTCCTGTTAAGTCTGGCTTGAAGTGACTCCACGCTAGCGGGCGATCAACCTGCCCGGCTCTGTTTTGATTTGAGCCAGATCAGCCTTCACAGCCGCGTGTGAAAATTAGTTGATGGGCAATGCGGCTACCGCCCAAGTCGTCGTCGACGTCCCCGCCCTAGTCCTCGTCGTCGTCGCAACATAAACCTTCGTCGATCGCCATCGCGGCCGCCTGGCACTGCCTCCACGATGGTTGGCCGATTACTTTGACTTCACGCGCTTCCTGCCCTAGAAGAGGAGGGGCACTTGCAAGGGGGGTCAGTGCGGCGCCATGATAAGGATGATAACAATGGGGGTGGGGGCCGAGGGTGATGGGGATGATCAGCATATATATATATATATATATATATATATTATATATATATATGCAGAGGTGGAGCGGGGGAGGGGGGGGGGGGGAGGAGGAGGGGAGGAGGGGGGGGGAGGAATGATGAGGGGAGGAAGGGATGGAGGGAGGGAGGAGGAGGAGGAGGAGGAAGAGGAGGGGGGGGGGGGAAGGAGGAGGGGGATAAGGAAGAGCATGCGCAGCCAAACCATGCTATTCACAGGTTTTTTGGTTTTCTTGGTCAGGGAAGCCACGGAACCTTGCTATTCACAGGTTTCTTTGGTTTTTTTGGTTTTCAGAAGCTCCACGAGCTTGGCCAGAGGGGGTTCGCGGGGGCTCGTGGAGCCTCTGAGAAACAAAAGAAAACAAAACAACATGTGAGTAGCACCGTTTGGTGGTTTCCAAGACCAAAAAAAAAGTGAATAGCAGCGTTTGGTGGGATCGTGGCCACCAAACGCTGCCATTCACATTTGTTGGATTTTCAGCCCCCCGGAGACCTCCGGGCAAAGTTTGCGGAGCTTCTGAAAACATAAAAAGCAAACAAAACTGTGAATAGCAGCGTTTGGTGGCTTCCCAGACCAAAAAAAACAACATGTGAATCTCATGGTTTGGTGGCCACGCTCCTCCCGCAAGCCTTCGCGGCGAAGGGAGAGGAGGGGGAGGGGGATAATGGGGAGGGCAGGAGGAGGATGACGAGGAGGAGGATGAGGAGGAGGATGAGGAGGAGGAAGAGGAGGAAGAGGAGAGGAGAAATAGAGAGAGAGAGAGAGAGAGAAAGAGAGAAACAACAACAAAGATACAGACAACGCGGCGACTGGGGCAGGGGGGGCGCTGGGAGGGGGGGGGAGGGGGGCATATATATGTATGTATGTATGTATGTATGTTCATGCATATATAATTATATAATTATATATACGCGTGTGTGTGGTAGGGGCGGTTCCAAAGATCCGTCTTTGCATGTTTGTGCAACGATGGTATTCGGATTTGTTTGTTTCTCTTTCTCTCTCTCTCTGGCCCTTCGTCGCGGCTAAAGCTCCGCGAAAGGAATCCGATTGACGCCCGTCGCAAAGGAATCCGATTGAAATCCGCTACAAAAGGCATCCTATTGTAATCATCCAAAAGAGGAGTTTTGTTGAAATCCTCCATGCAGGAATCCGAGTGCAATCTTGCACACAAGGAATCCCAGTACAATCCTCCAGCATTTTTTGTTGTAAGCCTCTACGCTACAAAAAGGAATACGATTGTAATCCTCCGCGCAAGGAATCCCATTGTGATCCGCTGCGCATGGAATCCCAATGTGACCCTGCAATTCCACATCCCCACGTGCTTCGGAAACTGTTTTTGTTTGTCTAGTTTGCTCCTCACTTTTGTTTTTGCTGTCCATGCACATGGGAGCTCTGGTTTCACGGCTTTTCGTTTAGAAATACTGTTCTGGTTATCCGTCCTGGTTTTTGCTGCCCTGGCGCCAGGAATCTCAAGGCCGGCGCAAGTGACGCTTGCGAAGTTGTCTTCTCACTCGCAGTTGTCCGCGAGATCTTGGTGCATGAACTCTTCTGTCCGAAATGTTCGAAACATCATGTAGTTCCATATCTGTCTTGCTCATGCTGTGGAACGGGCGCAGTTTGGCTGGGCTGGCTGTTCCGGTCAGTTTGGTAGGTCTTGCTGGTTCGGTCGGTCTAGTGCATTCGCTCGAGCAAATCACTATTGTCGGGGTCGCTGTTGTTTTGTCGCGAGGCTGACGTGTCTGAAAATTAAATGCGACGGGTCTGGCTTTGATGTCGATGAGAGGGCGGCGGGGACTTTGACGAGGATGGTCTTATTGTTTTGAGACAGTGAAAGCGCGGATCTTGGGAACCGCCCTAGAGTATACATATATATATATATATATGTGCTCGCGCCCTACCAAGACCTACCTCAAGACTGCAACATGTTTGAGTGACTCGCCTGACGCGGACGGCCCCCCTCAGGAACGCAACCCTTGCTGATCGCTGCGACGCCGCAGCTGGCGTCGCGAAGGGCGGCGACGGAGGGCGATCACGCTACTGTTTTCGAAGCTTCCGAAGCCATCGCTCCCCCTTGGTGCAGATCCGGCATCGCCGAAGCCTGCGTCGGCGCAGGCAAATGGCTTGCAACAGCGGCACCCTCAGGGAACAGCGCAGACGCCAGCGCCCCGCGATGGCGCCAGCAGTCTGGATCGCCGCCCGCCCGCAGGCGGAACCGATGCACTCCCGAAGGGCGCGCTCATTTGTTCAGGTGCTTCAGCATCTCCCCCGTCTTGGACCAGGCATCGTCTGCCCGATGCCAGTGGGCCCATTGAGCAGGCGCGCGCGGCGGCGCAAGGACGCGCTGCCGATTGCCCCAGACATGCACTTGAGGTAGCTGCGCAAGAGCTACCAGAAGCGGTCGACCACCTGCGTGCCCCCCATGCACTTAAACGTCCTCTTTGTTCCTGGAATGTTGTGCTCGAGCTCCTTGGCGTACTTCGGGGGGATCCACGCGAAATTACCGTTGCGCTTGACTGGCTTCGCGCTCCTGTCCTTCAGTTTCTTCTTCAGATGAACCGCGTAGCCATGAATCGCCCCGGGAGCCTGTAGGCGCACGCGCCGTCAGCGTGGAGAATGACGTTGCGGCCCTGGAGGTGCCCCCGCGCAAACTTCTTCTTCTCGTTCTCCCTGATGGGGCCTGGCCCTGGCGCCCGAGACGATCTGCTTTGGGTTCAGACGCGTCAGGATGAGCGCGCGCGGGCCCCCCCGCTGCTGGGCGCCGCCCCATTGTTCCCAGGTCGATGCGGCATCGTGGGGCGACGGGCATCCGTCGTCGACGACGTCCTTCCTTCCTGAGGTCAACCTCGCGCGCGCGCGCGTGCGTCCGCGCGCGCGCGGGCGCGGGCGGGCTTGGACCTTGGTCGTTTTGCCGAAAGAAACCAGGGTCTCGCGACAGACGGACATCACTATTGAGTTCACGGTGTGTTTTTTTTTTTTTTTTTTTTTTTTTTTTTCCAACAAGTATGTATGACGCGTGCGTGGCTGCATCGTTCTTGGGCTTTTGGCTATGTTTTTTTCACCAACTACGCATGGCACAAGCAACTCGGCCAGGATGTGTTTCTTTGTGTGCGCAGTGTCCGTGCCGCGTTGCTACAGAGTGTCCTTCTGGTTACTGAAAGAAAAAGTGCGTGCGTGCGCATGCGTGCGCGCGCGCGTTTGCGCGGGTGCGCTGATTGTGGAACCCCGGCGGCCCAGGCGGACGGGCGCGCCCCCCCTGTCTCGTTTGGCCGACGGAACCAAAGGTCTCGCGGGCGGGGAGGGGGCGCATCGGACTCAGCGCAACGATGAGGGAGGGGCGGGAGACAAGCAAGGAATAGTTGAATATTGTGGATCAGGAGAAAGGAATAATATGCTAGCACCCGTTGAGCATTGCGCTCGAAGCAGGTGTTGCGCCTCAATGTGCACATTGGGCACTGCGCCCACGCGGAGAGCATTACGCCCAAAGAGAATCTGCGCTACGCTGAAGAAAGCAGGCGTTGCGCCTCAAACACACCCCTGGGCATCACGTCCATGTGAAGAGCCTTACGCCCAGCGTTTTAGAGTATCACACTCTTCCTCCTAGAGCATTGCGCTCTTCTCCCCTACAGCTAAAAGCAAGAGCATTACGCTCTGCTGTGGCTCCTCCCCTATCATCCTCATCCTGCATAGGCATTGCGCCTTTGACTACGCCCTGGGTGTACACCCATTCTAAGAGCATTGCGCCCCGAGTTATCATTCTGAGGTTGCCTTCCCTCTTCCGCAGTTGGCATGGGCCCGTTCGCAGATGGCCTGCCCGTGGGCGCTGGTGGGGGGGTATCCTCTTTCTGCTCCTCCTCCTCCTCCTCCTCCTCCTTCTCCTCCTCCTCCTTCCCTCGTTGAGCATCCCGTCGCGGCCTCCTCCTGATCCTCCTCCTCCTCCTCCTCCTCTCTCCCTTCTCCCCTCCCGCTGAGTATCCCGTCGCGGACTCCTCATGATCCTCCTCCTCCTCCTCCCCCTCCTCTTCCTCCTCCTCCCCCTCCTCCCCTCCTCCTTCCTCCTCCCTCCGCATCCGCATCCTCCTCCTCCTCCTCCTCCTCCTCCTCCTCCTCCTCCTCCTCCTCCTACTCCTACTCCTATCCTTATTCCTTATTAGAATATACTCCTACTCCCCCCTCAGGCCGGCAGATAGGGGCCGCATCCGGGTGGTCCCATCCTAACCTGTAAAAAACAATACAAAATCAACATTTTCTTATTTTTTCCTCTCGACATGGACGTCCTGTCGTCCACGGCGATAATCCATTGCAAAAAATACCACAAAGAGCACACGCGCGCGTTCATGTCAGAATCCTACCGAACACCGTGTGTTTGCAAGCATTTCAACATAAAAACATCAAAAACCCAATGCTTTTTCACAAAAATTGTACAAATTTCCCGCCCGGGCTCTCTTGCTGAAATCATAGGAAAACCATAGGAATCTTAAGAATTCGGTCAAATCCAGCGATTTCGCGTCATCGC